AGTACCGTACCGTACTTGTAGTCTTCGTTATAAGTAGTCCAGGATGTATTATTTTCTTCTTAAAGTGTCACAAACTACCAAACTATAATGACAGAGAATGACATTTCGCTACAGACACATCATTATACTAAGTACCGAAAATAACCCCAAACCCAACGAATGAGGTTTTCATATTAACTTAATATAAATTCTTAAAATAAATTCATAGTAGACCTAATTACATTAAACTGGGAGATAATCAAGATAATATACTCAACTATTGAATACTTGTATAAAATTGGTTTTAATAATGGCAATTGTTGCAAAATAATATGAAGCAACTGATCATCCAATTTTTCTTCCAATGTAAACGAATTCGAAAAGTATGGAAGTATGTATAGAATTTGATGTATAATTTGACTACCCATTGGATCAAAATTGTTATGTCTAAATACAAGCGTTTGAAATGTGGACGTTCAGAAGAATTATCGGAACCGCATGGATAAAATGACAAATGAAGAGGTGCTTAGAAGAGCAGAAGCAGAGAGAAAACTATTAAACATTGTACGGAGAAGAAAGCGGAAATTTGTTGGTCACATAATCAGAAAGGATAGGCTAATATTGGATGGGGAATAAAAAAGGTACAGGGGAGACTAGGAAGAGAGAGAGAGAGAGAGAGAGAGTGAGCTGCATGGACAGGAAATATCAAAGAAGGGTGGCATGAGTTACTTAAGAAGCATCAGAATGACGCAATCAATATTCACCATAATACGTGTGTAACATCTTTATACATGTCATTACAAACTACATTTTTTGGTTTGGCGATCCATGTCAGCCAAACTGCTTGAAGCAAAGGACACCCACAGGTAACAGGATTTTTGGGGTTGCCAAATATTGTGTCGGAACTTTGTTCCTCTTTGGCTTCTCCCTCCTCCTGTTGCTGTTTTTGAGGAAATTAAATTATTATTATTATTATTATTATTATTATTATTATTATTATTATTATTATTATTATTATTATTATTATTATTATTAATATTATTATTATTATTATTATTATTATTATTATTATTATTATTATTATTATTATTATTATTATTATTATTTAACAATATTTTAAATGATCGAACGATTTTATCTGGCTTTGTATCGATATGTCTAACATATTTTTAAATTAAAAAATCAATACAAAAGCTCCAATAAGTAAACATCAACGTATTAGTTTATTTTATTTAAAAATTATTTTGGAACAAGATTTTTGTTTACATGGCTATATTTAGTATTGACAAAATATACGAAAAAATTATATTACATAGTACTCAATAATATAATAATAATAATAATAATTATTATTATTATTATTATTATTATAATATAAATAATAATAATAATAATAATAATAATAATAATAATAATAATAATAATAATAATAATAATAACAATAGCAAAGGTGTGTATTAACAAGTTTATATATGGTAAATATCCCAATCTTATAAGCATAATTTGAATCAGAGCTACAAATCAGAGGTCATAAGATGTTAAAGAAAAAGAAATTTAAAAAAAATACAAAATATAATGGCACTTTTGTTTTTCTTTATTAGGTGGCAGTACATAATACTTGTTGTATATGCCTATAAATATTTTTTTAAATGTAAAGTTTGTAATAATAATAATAATAATAATAATAATAATAATAATAATAATACATTTAAAAAACCGAAGTAATTATCAGTGGCGCTTCATGTTATTGTTGGAATAAGTGCGTTTTGAGTGATTTTTTAAATAAAGCAATTGATGTTGATTTTTTAATGTGAAGTGGTAGTGCGTTCCAGAGAGTGTGGCTGCAGCAAATGAAAATGATCTGTGTCCGAAGGTCTTAGTGTTGACGTACATGTTGTACTGAAAATATTATAATGTCCGAACAGTTTATCTTTTTTACAGAATGTAAAATGAAATTATAATGAATAAAAGTGGTGGTTTCCCCACAAAATGAAAAAAGTAACAGTGAAGGCTTCAGTGAAAGCCAAATAAAAAGGAAATAGGTCCGAGTGTTCATTAAGCCTGGTTTCGATCGTTACACAGTCGCTAACAGCGTTTTCGCTGCAATCCTTGCAGTGTGTCTCTATCCCCCCGCCCCGACGCAATAAACGTGAACGCGCCCTTATTCAACTGACCAATCAGCGTCGCCAAATGAGTCGGCGATAGGGCTGCGTGAAGCAATTTTTATGGAAACCAGGCTGTACTCAGCACAAGCCAAGGATTTCTACACGAACAAGGCAATGTTCTTCGCGTTATCGATTATCATGGGAATTACGCATTATTAATTTATAATATATGAGGCAGAAAAATGTTGTTTATATCTGCCACCTCGTTATGTTATAGTTTATGAATAAAGTAGGCCTATGCGCTGAGCATACAGTAGGTCTCTATCAGTTATAATAGAGTAGGCCTACATTTTATAAGAACAAAGGCAAAAAATACATCCAACAGGGATGCTCATACTGGTGTGTGGAAGAAAGATTTTATCATAGAGATTTTCTCTGTGATTATATCTTGATAATCCGTAACGTGTTTAGGTGCGCCGACCACATCACTTCTGAATAACTAATACGGTGTGCAGGTCCTGTCTCTTATACACATCTAGATGTGTATAAGAGACAGATCCTCCCCTGTCCATTAGGCCTACTAAGTAGTTAATGATGATATGCCTATAATAGATCGTATATAATGTGACTCCATATCAAATTTCTATTTGATCATCAACAATATAAACAATAAATGCTTCCTCGACGTTTCGAAACCTGTTAGGTTTTATTTTCAATTGGCAGTTGTTTAAAAGAGGAACAAACCCACGACAAATTGATAGACGGACCGAGCACCTCAAACAATACACACTATTCATTAGATTATACTGTGTGTGGGATAAACATTTATGTCTTTATATCCGCCACCGTGTCTTCAGGCCCACCTATCATTGAAAGTAATGCGCAAGAAGCAGTGGCCCTTATGTGTTACTGTTGTAGGCCTAAATTTCAATTATTAGAACAACAGAAAAATAACAAATAGAAAGTAATTAGTGATGCTAGGCCTTTAATAGAAAGTAAAACCCGCATACTTCTGTTTGACCACTGGACTTCTTGTTTTGTGTATTTTACTCTGTAGCCTCTATTCATACTTTCTATCTTGTGCATCCAATAGAAAGCTCAATATACAAGATACAAGATACTTTTATTGTCATTTATATATTTAAAAAAGGAATAATTATTTGGTCATTAACATTGCACTCTAATCAAGAAACAATATGGGGAACATCTGCAACTTTTGTAGTATAAATTACATATCTGTTGCTTTCATATCATACAGTAAATGAATTAAATTATTGTTACAGCTAATTCAAATGTAACTCATTCTTAGTTCAATTGAAATAAAATTATAAAGAATATGTCATCATGGTACAAAAACATGCCAAAAACCACTATTAAGGGGACGATTTCATGTTTTTGGTTAGTGTCCCCTGAATAGATACCCCTATTCAGGGAGCACCCATATAAAGGGGACACTTTTTCGATCCCAAATGTTTCCCCCTTAATTCGGGTTCTACTGTATGGAAACTAATACGCTGTGCAGATTTTCTAGCAGTTATATTAGTAGGTCTAGGCCTACATTATATTTATAACAATGGCCGAAAATAAAATAGAAATTAATTAATGATTCTAGGCCTATATAACAATAATAATAATAATAATAATAATAATAATAATAATAATAATAATAATAATAATAATAATAATAATAATAATAATAATAATGATAATATTAATTTATTTGGAATCTTCACTTTTATAAAAGTGGCACACTTCCCCTTGTGAAGGTGCGTCCAAAAAGAAAATAAAACAAAAGTAACAAGAGTAATTAAAGTTTAAACTAAAAAAAAAAAAATGACAGACATAAAAGCAAGTGAGATAAATTAAGACCATTTACAAAGAGTTATTAACAACTAAATCTACAATAAGAAAGATTATTAAATGAAATATATAAATAATAAACAGTAAATATTAACACAAAATACAAGTTACAAATTTAACATTTCCATCGTTATACAAAAAAAAAACAAAAAAAACAAAAAAACAATACAATGAATCAAGTATTTAAGACTATAAAATTAGCAATGTGAAAGACAATCTTTTTTATGCTTTACAAATTAAATCTTTACAAAATTTGTCAAAGAAGCCATATGAGCCATCTTCGTATGTAAGAGATGTGTTACCAATGATAAACATAAATTTTGTGCTATTATCACTATTATAGAATTTGGCCCATGATCTGCTTAGACCATTGCAATTTAAGGAATTTTCCAACAGTTTGTATTCTTCAATTCTAATACCTTCATATGCTTCACAATCAAAAATAAAATGGGAACTGTCTTCAAGAACGTTAAGTTCTTAACGTTTTCCTATACCATAATAGACCGTAAAACATGCATATTTCTATTTGATCAACCAATAAACGTGTCTGGACTTTCCGAAACTATCAGGATGTATTCTCAATTGGCCATTCTTTTAAGAGGAAAGCGAACATATGTAAACATGACAAATTGACACAAACGAAAAGGGCCCCAAAACTAAATATTTTATTTATTACCGTATACTGTAGCATGCTCATACTGGTGTGTGGAAGAAAGATTTTATCATAGAGATTTTCTCTGTGATTATATCTTGATAATCCGTAACGTGTTTAGGTGCGCCGACCACATCACTTCTGAATAACTAATACGGTGTGCAGGTCTCTATCAGTTATATTATAGTAAGCCTACATTATATTTATAATGGCAGAAAAATAAAATAGAAAGCAATTAATTATGGTAGGCCTATAAATAACGTGATTAAATACCAACTTTCTTTTTGGTCAACTAAAAAAATGAAGATGATATGATTCTGAGACCTGGTTATACAGTAATGTTAATATGGCGATTTAAAGGGAGAAAAGAAAGAGAGAAACATGACAAAACGACAGACGAATGGTTACCCCAAACAGTGCATATTTATTAGATCTGGATTGTCTTTTGAAATAAAATAGAAGAAAATTCGTTAAGAGTTCTTTGATATGAAATTTTAAAAACACACACACACACACATTAATGATAAATCAATCATTCGATTAACAATGAAATTACACATTATCAACTTGATCATATACATAGGTTATCACACTTAATAATGAGAGCATACACTTTTAACCGAAAGGTCCATTGATTAATATGAGATAAGATAGTGCAATACATACGAAATGAAGTATCGAAATGCACGCCATCGTTTCGGAAATCAATATCACGACTAATGTTGGACTGCATTTATACTCACCCCAGAAATTGAAATTTACAATCTAGAGCTGTCCATCGTGCGATTGGTTGCGATACTACGCGCGCGTAGCCTCATATACACGTGCACAGTAGGTAAATATTCTACGCAAAACAATGACGTCAAATTGAGTGAGCTACATTAACGTCCGTATAGCAGGCTACCGTAGGCATTCAATTTTTATGAAAAGGCATAGATTTAAGAAATCAATAGAGTCTCTAGGATAAAAGCTTTGGCAGTGATTAAGTTATGCAAGCATCGTTATTGAAATTGAGAACTAAGTAACCCATCGCCCCCCCCCCCCCGTTTTATACCGCATGCAAAAATATATAAATTTGTACTAATCATGCATGGTATTCATATTCAATATTAATAATAAATTCCATTTTTCTTCATTTTTTTTTAAAATCAAATCGAAAATCGTGATCGAATTATTTGAGAATGTGATGTGAACGTAATAATCGAAGGCTATAGATTTTATCAATGTTATGCCATGTTTCAATCCCCTACTTTGACGTTCAGATTCTTTCAACCAATCCGATAAGAGCTATGGTAAACTAATTCAGTTATTAGTCATTCTGTGATCAGATATTGGGTCTTTGTTGATATCAAAACCAAAAGAAGATTTGACGTAAATTTTATCTACCGAACACAAGAGAAACTCGAGGAACAACTTAACCACACTCAATGCTTATGACGATATTAGATACAGTACAAGGATAGGTCAGCACCGCTAGAGAACCGGATACACCACCTTGGCTAGTTCCTGTTCTTTCCCTCAAAAGCTTTACAATTACTTGCATTAAACAATTGTATCGTTCTTCGTTTTATTAGATACGTCTTGTTAGTTGTTCTTCATGGATTAATAAATCATCAAATCATAAAACAATACAGCAATTGTTGTGGACAAATATTTCTTGTAGACGTGATCAGGGAATAATGCAGGAATACAATAATGATTTTATCATTTCTCTCACGTCTTAAAAATTAGACACAGATTACAAAGATTACAAACAGTTTATACGTAACAAAGCATAAAAATGGTAAATTTTAAGATACAAACAAGAATTACATTCCAAATGAAAACGAGCGCAAAGCAATTATTCTATATCTGACAACAATTATCTTTTTAAATAATCCTAGAAAGATAAAAAGATGAAAACAGAATGTTTTTTACAAAGACATACTTTGATAATGCACACATGTAATGGTAAGGACGAAGAATATGCGAGAGTGAAGAAAGTTACCCTAGCTTTATATATCTGCCAAAATTTCAGTTATATATTCATTTCATACTTATATTATCAATATCATCATTATTATTATTTAGTAAGCAGTATGGAATACAAGAGTAGAATTTGCTGCACATGCAGTCTGGCAAAATTCCAATTATGCAGTTATTGTATCATTTTTTAATATCATTACTTGAAATACATATGATATGAAATATGATCACGGCAAACAGAAATTCAAATACAGTCATATTCCATTGTGGCCATCAAGAAAGATAAAACATCTTGATGGAGCTCTTTCCAGTATTGATACACACCATAGTGATGTTGAGGCTTTTGAGTTAGTACTCAAGCTTGACAAGATGATGACAGTCGGCTGAGGAATCTATTTAGCTCCTTGTGATCTTTAGATGACACGATGCCATCAGCTGATTGCCGGTGACGGCTTGAACGAATTGTCATTTATAACAATCCGTTGCGTGCACGTCATGTGACGTTGCATTCACCATAATGTTCACACACACTAGCCAATGGTTAGCAGGATCCTGATAAATAACATACGCGCTTATCCTTGCGTTCATACAAGAAAATCCCCGATCCAGATATATCAAGAAATTGAGGTGAGATGGCTGGCCAATAGGCAACCGGAAATTAGAAATGTATGTGTGATTGGTTTAATGAAAGAAACGCGCTCAACATGCTAACCGATAGCGCCTGCTAAGCATTAGTGTATCCAGATCCCTGTAATGGTTAGCGCTAACCAATCGGGCATTCTCATATGGGTGCTAATGGTTAGCGCTAACCAATCGGGGCATTCTCATATGGGTGCTAATGGTTAGCGCTAACTAATCGGGCATTCTCATATGGGTGTTAATGGTTAGCTCCCGATCCGGATACTAGGGCTCTAGTGCGAACCTAACAAGAATTTAGGTCTGAGAATGGCTCCTGTTTAGTGATCTTGGCCAAGGAAATTTATACATATTTCCCTTATCCAGGAGCATAAGTGGGTTCTGATCCCAAGGTTGGGCAACCAAACCATTCACGGTGCAAACCAATACTACTCAATTAGGGAATATTGATAGAGCCAAGATGTGTTACTGTTCTATTTGATAAAATGATGGCAAATAGAGTTCTTTGAATTATTACATTATTGAATTACATTAAGATAGACATAATGTCAATAAATTCATTGTTAGCTTCCACCATAATTTCAATAAATTCCTTGTTAACTTTCACCACTTATGTTGTCTAACAGACTGCAAAGCATCTTCAATAACATCAAGAGAGATTGGTTTCCCAAAAACGTGCTGGTAAAGTTTCAAGAAGAATGGAATGTATGATAGGTACTCTACAAAATCAATGGAGCCACTTTTATCCTTGTCGATGGTGTCGTAAATGTATTTAACAACATCCTGGTCAGCTTGAAGGTCCAATCCGGTTGATGCCACAATAATTACCATCAGTTCCTCCATGGAAAGCTGACTGTTACCATTAACATCCATAATATCAAACATTTCCTGAAGAACATGAAGAGGGTAATAATCACAAACATATTATGTAAATTGCTTTAATACTATGCTTTATTATTCTTTGTCAAGAGCCTAATGTAGTTCAATTAATAAGTAGTATGAAAAGAATTAAATTGTTAGACAAGGAAATACTTGTGTGTTAAGAATGGTTTCCTTAAAATCGCTAAACTGTCTCTAAAGCGTTCTCAGTGCAATCGTTGTACTGTATAGCCGTCCCCGGTGCAATCAGACAGTTTCCCCGATTCGACCGACCAATCAACATCTGCAAGCTCTCAGCAATAGCGTATTACCCTTGTATGGCAAAACAAGCATTAGAATCCCACAAATAATCATCCAAAAATGTAGATTTTTTTTCAAGGGTATTACCATATGTTCTCGCATATAAGATGAGGCGTAAAATAGCAAATTACAAAAAAAACCAAAAAAAAAACAAAAAACAGCTGGGGTCGTCTTATACATACAATTTTTTTATGTTTAAAATTATGTTCGTCTACGTGTGGATCATTGTACCACGCAAATTTACTACTGAAATGAAGTCACTAACTGTTATGGTCACCATGCACCTTTGAACAGTTGTTGCTTAATGTAATGAAATCCATGAAATTTACCAAGCCGATTTGAAGGCTAAATGCAGGCTTGGTCCCAGAGGATCATATCAAAAGGAAGAAAGAAAGGTGAAATGGGGGGAGGGGGGTCGCCGACTTTAAATCTTCTCAAACTCGGGAGTCCTTCTTTTTATAAGCAGATTGCCTTATACGCGAGAATATACGGCATTGTTCTTAATACATTCTAAAACATCTCACAGCAGCTTCAATTGCCTCAAAAACTGTCAATTTGTTTGGAGAACCAGGGGGGAGGGGGGTTATTTCCTTCATCTCCACCAATGCTTTGCTGCTAGAATCTCCTCCACCGGAAATTGTTAGATTCCATATTGGACCGTTTTGCCCTTCTGTTTATCTCAAAGCCACTACTAGCACATGTACATTGAGTGTATTTTTTATGCTTGTTGTTGTTAACATTGTGATATTGTTAACATTATTTATTTTACTGTGGTTATAGTTAGGCCAAAAAAAAATATATATATTGTGTTGGCCACGCCCAACCGACCCAAAATGTACAAAATTGAGGTTCGGTATTTTATTTTTTTTTGTTTGATTACAACGAAAAATATTTTGTTAATGAGTTAAAAAGGCTGGAATGCCTATCACTGGACAGTTTCCTACAGACCTACTGGTTTTTTGGATTTTCCAAAAATTTGGCCAATGGCGTGCTTTTCTTTTTTGGTGGCTTTATAGACAGTGAAATATTATGGCTTGGGCTGTTTTTGGAGGTGCACCGTATTTGCTCTCTACTACGTTGGCTACCTGTTCTGTTGCAATTTGTATTGTCAGTGTGCAGTCTAAATTTGTGACAAGTGAAGCATGTTGTTCATACAACTGCATTTCCTTTTCACATTTTTCGAGGAGCTGCCTTATCAGCAGCACTACTACTTGAGTGTATTTCCTTATAAAATACTTTCATGTTTTGTTTAATAATTTTTTATTTTGCTTACTTGTAGCTAAGAATCTTAACTTGTTTATTCTAGTTCATTTTAAACGCACCAAATGATTTTTGAGTGCCATCGAATAAATAAAAAATATTACTATTATCATTAAATAAACAAAATAAAGTGCAGTGATATCATAAGTGAAGCTATTATGTGAGGTCTCACCACGAAATCAGTGGCTTAGCTAGTGGGGTCAAGGGGGGGCACCTACCCTGGGCGCCGGGTTTGAGGGGGCGCTGAAATGGGAGATTGAGAGTAAAAAAATAAGCACTTTTTAGAAAAACACAACGAAATTGATGTATTTCGCCAGGCATGAATATTTTCCCGTTAATAAGAATCTGAATGTAGGTGTATTTTTTGGCAAATGTATAGATTGTGATTTCTTTTCAGTCCATTTTGACTGTTTTCTCTTGTTTTTTCATTTTGTTCTGCAATGACTACATGACTAAAGCTCATCCTGCCATATCTCAGAGCCACGATGGAAAAAGAGAGACTATCTGCTTTGGCACTTGAGCGTGATGAAGCAGACAACGTTGCTACCTTTGATCATGTTATTAACTTATTTGCTGATACAAAAGCAGTTTCAGTTGCAAGATTAACAATGGAATTCAGCAACTTACAAGACTCTACTATAAGATAAAGTTAGATGTATGCCATAAATACAACAGCCTTTACAAATTATGATAATGTTAAAGTTGTATACAAAGTTCCGAGCATTGTAATGCAGTTTCAATAGTAAGAAACAGGGATGGCACCAGGGTCTCTTTCGGAGATAGCTGCACCCCCACCCCCTCCCGTTTGTCGGAGAAAAAAAACCATAATTCGTTGGGGAGAAAAAAATATAGGTATTTTGTACATTATTAGAAGACTCTAAAATCGATTAAATAAGACTTTGAAACCCATAAGTTGTCAACAATTTTCGGGGGTTTCGCCCCCCTCCCCTCCAGGTCACTTTCAGAAGATTTTAAGCGACGCTCGATCATGCCCACTTTGCTCTCGTCAAGGAAATCTTCCCCCTCGTCAGGGAATCGCCCTTCCCCCTCGTCGGGGCATTGCGCCCCCCCACACCCGAACCTCGGAACTTCCTTGGGAAAATCCTGGCGCCATCCCTGGTAAGAAAGAACATACAAGAGCTACAATAATAATAGTTATTCGGGTTTAAATAATACTGTTTAGACAGTGCATGATATGGACGTACAGTACGAATATGCTTAAAGTATATACAACCAATATCAATTAATTTCAAAATATTATAATTATAATTGGGTGGGGGTAGGGGGCGCAATTTTCTACTCTTCCCCCCGGGCGCCATAACCTCTAGCTACGCCACTGCACGAAATGAGACGCATCGTTGGTGAAATCATATTGAGATACTATTCACCAAAACAGACCAAAGTCAACATTTTTACAAAATTTTGATTTTAATGATTTTGAATAACTTGATACTTATATTTTATGATTGCATACTTTGTAAATGAATTTTCTTGCCAAAACAGTGTTCTCTGCACATATTCTGTAAATCTAGACATATTATTTGTACAGGTTAGTTTATCTTTGAGGCTGATTTTCTGAAAACGTGGTTCTTATACACCTAAACTTTAAATGCTAACATCTCTGGATTTATTACTTATAGTAGGGAAGCCACTCAAATGCCAAATGAAAGCTTATAGTGTGATTTACCCAAATATAATATAAACTCAATTTTTAACCATGAGACTCATTTTGTGGCGAGCAAACAGTACACAGCCACTTTAACAATAACAGAGTAATAAATCAGAGACTGTTTCCTTCTCTACAGCAAACTTACCTTGTAAGCAGTAACATGATGACTCAGCTTTTTCAGGCTGAAAGCAAGCTGCTGATCAGGTGACTCAGTCACATGACCTGTGATCTTATCATTCAAGGCTGCCATTGTTACAAACTCTCTGACGTCGATTGTCTTATCTTTGTTCAGGTCAAATATCTGTAGCGATATATGGAGGGACAAAACAGATTGAATAAGTAGAGCTTTTCCTCTTTAAGAGATATACAGCGGTGGCGCAAGAAATTTGCCGACAAGGGGTCGGACGTGTCCGACGGAGGGGTCCGAACCAAAACGACGACGAAGACTCGGTTGATAGCCCGGAATAAAAAAATCCTCGTTTAGGTTCATGGGGAGAGTTTTTATGGCTTAATTTTTTATCCTAAATGTGTTTTTAGACCACAATATTTGGGACTGGCAATCAAAATAGCATTATTTGGATCTAGGCAAATTATTATTTCTTTTAATTTTTGGTCCAACCGGACTTATAAAGCGCACAATCCACTCAAAAAAGGGAACTGATTTCATATTTAGATCATAATAAAAACTTGAAGACATCTGCTCACTGAACGGTTCACCTGCACAACTTAACACAGTAAATAAGTCAAAACGGGACCCCATTTTCTCACAAAATCGACTATATAATTTAAATGGTTTCATTTGCCAATCTGGGGCGATCGGATTATAAAACTAGATGTTTTAAGCTTAATTAATTAATGCAAAATTGAATAATCATTTTTCTTTCAAAGTTGACTACTTCTTATGCTTTTGCATAGATAAAAGGTTAAAATTAGAGTGTATATTGGTATACTTCCTGTTTCTTTTTACCATAACTCTGCAACAACAGGTTGCTAAACTTTGGGTGAACGGTCAATTGTAGCTCATAAATTAAGCTTTCTTGCCATGTAAATTACATGCTGGTTGCTACTTAAATAACCATTGATCATTTTTACTTTAAAATTTTGTATTCAGAACTGTTTTTACCCTGTCTATGAACGACGTCACACACTTAAGGCCAATAGCAGCTACAAATTTCGAGTTTTCTGCGGTTAGTGCATTCATGCATAAGATGTAGGTCAAATTTACCTGAATGAGATTTTGTCGAAAATAGGGGAGAAGTCATTATGGTTAAAAGACTCATTTCAAAACAATTTGCTGATTTAATCATGAAGAATTCCAGAATTGCATCAGTTTTGCTCTTAGTTGTATGTGGCATGTACATGCAGATAGTAGTAGTATTTCTTAGTTTCATTATAAATACATGAAAACAAGTTTTGAAATGCTATTAGTAAATAGTTCCAAGAGGTAATTGTACACCAGAATCCAAACTACATTTCAGGTGGTTTCTCTTTCTGTTTTCCATCACACAATTAGACTTGTTGTCTTGATGGTTAAATTAAAAGTGTTCATGATTCTTAAGCTTCAGTTTACAAAGACTTAGTATGCCATTTGCTGGAAACAATTAACATCTCGACGAGATTTGATTGACAGATAAACCGACTAATCAGCGAGCGTCATTTAGCCATGTGATAAAAAACTTTTTCTTCGACATTTTAATTTCCTTAGACATGGCCAGCTGGTTGTCAACGCAAAACATACATGAGCCTAGGCCTAGATGTCTATGCTTGGTTATAGATAGGAATATGCCATAAAATATTCCTTTATGCCTATTATACGTTTTTAACGGCAAAAAATATGGTAAAACGGTGTCAATGGAGACTTCAATTCAGGCGATCGTTATCCAGAATGACTAAAAGGAGGAATTAAGTTTATCCCGTTCCCGAAGCCCAAACGCAACATTGAAAAGTGCAAACGATCGATTAAAGTGTGTAATCGCATACATCACCAGTGAGCATCAGTGACTTGGCTATTGCCAACAACGAAGTTGACTGAATGTGGCTTTTCCCTCTTCCTTTAGAAGTGAAATACAGAGGCTTTTACAACAATTTCCCCATCTGTTCCATGAAACAGGTTAACACTATGAATATATGATTCATTTGCATACCGCCTACCCTGAATTATCTTTCTTGAAGAAGGTTGATAGCAAAGAAAATGTTCGCCAAAACCGCTTGGTAACTCAGTAGCCGCCATATTATCTAAGGTTTTCATGACTTTGTAAGCGGGGCTTCGAGTCCTTGTCGACATATCAATTGTCATGCATGCGAAAATAAATCAAGATTAGATTGTGATGACTAGTAAATTTTACTTATCTTTATAGATTGAGTAGCAAAAATTGTATGCATTTTACGGCATATTTGCAATGAACCTCACTTTAACTAGTTTGAAATGTTTAAAATATCGCGAAATGCCTTAACTCCTGAAAATTTAATTAACAGTTTAATATGGAATATTCACATATTTGTAATGGTATTTATCTTTTTATTTGATTTACCAACTCTGGGGCAAGAATCATGGATTGCTAATAGTGATTTTTTTTTTAATACATGCACAGAGACATTTAATATGGTGCACTGGACCAACAGCTTAACATGCAAACCAAAGGATGAAGTAAATAGAATAAATAAATAATAATAATGATACAGAAATTTATATAGCGCCTTTTGCCAAAGTATAAATTGTGCTTTAAGATAGTGTGGACTAGTAGCTTGATCAATGATTATTTTCTCCTGAGAGTCCCTTCGTTTCTGTGCTACCCGGTAACCCCATACCAGCAATTCTCACTGTCCACCACAGGGGCTGTTTCTACCAGTACACAAGGGTATCCTCCTACCTACTTGTCTTGTATGATGTACTGGGTTAGTGCACACGAGCCATCGTGTACACTGGGCCTATGGTTTATAGTCCTTTTCCGAGAAGAAGCCGGTATTATGGCTATAGGTTTTGGCACCCCTGCTAATCGGCCATACGACTTACTGAATAAAGTGTGCAACTCACGAATACATAAAATGGAATTTCCAGGTTTTGAACCAGGGATCCTGCAATCCAAAGCCTTTTCCTTTTTTTATTTGAGCAATTATTCATAATTACACCAAATGTTAATGAATAAATTAATGTCGAAAGGTCCACTGATTAATCTCAGATAAGAAAGTATAATACATACTCCAAGTATTGAAATACATGCCATCGTGTTGGGATTCAATATTTCGACATTAATTATGTCATCATCAGGATGATGACGTCATCATCTTGATGATGACATAATTAATGTCGAAAAATTAATGTGTTTATATTTTTTCTATATAATATGTAAAACAAATGGAATAAAATTTTGAATTTATCCTTTTGTTATTAACATCAACAGAAGAACATCTTCCATTTAAAGATCCATTATAAAGCTGGATTTACACTAGACACGATAAGGACACGACAACGACATATCATTGCATAGTTTGTATCCTTCAACACTGCGCGCATCTGTATTGTGTCGTTGTCGTGTCGTTGTTGTAGTTGTCGTGTTGTAATCGTGTCTAGTGTAAATGTAGCTTAAAGGTTAATATTTAGTCCTTTACTCGAATACAGTGGCGGATTCAAAGGAGACTCAGCCAGCCAACCCGCCCCTCCTCCTCCCCTTACCTAAATTCTTTTTAAATTATACTATAAATGAAGAAAAGAAGAAAACTATACTTTAATGTAAGTCAGAGAGTGTCATTTCCGGCCATCTAGAGGTGCCATTTTCTTACCTCAGCCCCAGACATGGATGGGGCTGAAGTGGTTTAGAACCTCCATACATACATACGAACATTACAACATTTATATAGTGCTATTTCAAGAAGATCAGAGCAGTTCTCGCTATTTTTTATTACTTGTATTTTTACTAATATACTGTAGTGATGAAAATACATCCAACAGAAGAACACAGGAAAATGAGAAAATAAAATAAAACAAAGTAGATGAAACCAAACACCACTGCACCGTTCCCTAGCAATTTAATGGGCAAGGCACGCCAGGACAGCATTAACAGCTGCATGAATGATGTTCGCATCAAATCCTAGTCAATTCATAATCACAAGAAAACAATAAAGTTTAACACATTTTCTTAAATATTGTAAGGGAGGCTGAAACACCAATGAAAGCCCCTCCGTGGGTTCCCTCTATTTTGAGCTCCTGAATCTGCCAGTGGAATATATGCTTTACCTGCATAGCTGTACCATTCTTAATTAGAATGAATACAGGAAAGAGCTGTATTATGGTAATACATAAACACATTAAGCCTCTTCTTTCGTAATTTACTGGCATTAGAAGATAGAAGAGAATTACGTAAAATAAAGGTTTGCTAATGACTTAATTATATCTACATTATTTGAATCTCAGTTACCTTCCGAAAAATGGAAAGTTAATCTAGTATAGATCAATCAAAATTGAAGTTGACATATCATCTAAAACCCATACATAAAAAAGATGAATTTATTCGAAAATGCATACTTCAAAGGAAATTTCAATAAACACACTCTTAAACACACCCTGGCAACTGCCCTGACACGGCCCAGGACAATTATCTGAATAAATATTGTTTATAACGGTGTGAACCTACCTGCATGATTAATTTTATATCTTCCTTTCCCACCCATTTCTTCATTCGTTCTTGAAGTTCATCTAAGGTCAAGATGCCATTGTCGTTGACATCCAATTCTTGAAATTTCTCTTCAAAGATTGTTTGTTGCCGTGGTGAAATGAAAGTGTAAACATCAGCCAAAATCTGAAGGTAACAAATTACACATTCATTAGTAAGGCTATGTGTTTGTTGGGGGGTGCATATATGCAGAAATTCACACAAGAACGAAGTGTTAAGCCGGGCACACACTGCGCGGACCTCGGCCGATGTGATTCCATCGGAAGTGTAATGTGACGCGGCACGCATAACAGATCTTTTTGAATGACAATCTGCTGAATCTGCCATCGACAATCAGCAGACGCCGTAGCGTTGTCAAGTGTTCACGCAGAGAAAACATTAATTAATCTCCTGACGGTCGTACGACGTAGTGTGTGGCCAGTTTGATACGCGAGCGCTACTAATAATTGTATTTAAAAAATTTCTCTAAATAATTATCCCTTATAAAGTCGCCTTTGTCTTGACACAGGTTAGACAATGCTACAAATTGGTAAAATTAGGAATGCAATGAAAATGAAGATTCCGCAGGTCCGGGGGGCTCACTTGTATACCAACCTTACAGGGGCGTGCAGCAGCCATTCCAAGACATGAGACACTTGCGCTACCTATACTGAAAATTATTAGGGACTTGAACTACCATTTACCAATCCAGTGTTCCAGTTGAACTACTATTACGGCCATGTAACCTACCGAATTAAACTTGTATACTGTTCTCGATGGCGAAAAAGACCACGGTTCTGTCTATTCGCGATCCCTACTGTTTGTGGCTATGTAAAATGGTAAGTTTAGCACTGAGGTCATCAAAAAATCTTTGATAACATCGTCTGAAAAATTATGAGACTTTGATATGGGACGAGGCAGGGACTTTAACTACCAAATTTACCTGGTATTTCCCACTTGTGCTACCAAGTCCTCGCAAATATACCCTATACAAGCTGAAACTCTTCCATAAATTTACAAGCTTGTGCTACCAAGCCCTCAAAAATACACCCGTAAATGCGGCACCTACCCGTCTAAAAATATTGAAGAGTGAGCCCCCCGGGGCCTCAGGTTGCTACTAGTAATCAGTGAATTAGTGTATGGTTGATTTGACAAAAATTAATTGAACACAAACACAGCAGCTTGGCCGTTCCGTGGCAAAACAATGTAAACTTGAAATTTTCACTTTTAGAGAAAAATAGAGTGAAAGTTTGCATGTTTAGAATTTTGCAATAAATTGTTGTACCCTTTTTAAATTTTGCAGGCTTTTATATTTATAGACATTGTGATTATATGTGAAATTTTAATTACAACCCATGAGGAAACTTCACCATTTACTTCTGTACAATGTTTTTTTTTTTTTTTCTTTTTTTTAATTATGTATCATCACAATAATGCTTTATAAATACCATCGCATGTTCTTAAATACAGTATATCAAATGTTGTATTTTCAGTATTGAATCCCTAAACTTTGAGTATGTATTATTTTATCTGTATCCGAGATTAATCAGTGGACCTTTCGGTTTAATTTCGATTCTTGTATTTTTTAAAGGTTTATTTTGTTCATTAAAAATATAACATGTAGAACATAATGTTTGTGTCTATTTGTAAACTGAGGTGTAAGAAGAATGATGATTGTAAATGATACTGGCTATTTTCACAGATGAATATTGGATCATTGTTTACATTTATTTATATTTTAAATTTTCTTTATTTTAGAGCCATCTTAATTATTGCCATCAAAATATAAAATGTTATTCAATGCAAACCTGTATTTATCCATATATTAGCTGAATAAAAATAATATATATATTATACAATAATAATTTTAACATTTAACAACATTAATGCAGCAAAGCCTATCCAAAACCCCAATAAAATCTAGGCCTCAATCTAGGCCTAGCGCATGTATAACCAACGCGTAAAATTGCGCGTATGAGCCCGTGGAGAACGCCTAGTAAAGCCAAAATATTTGCTGTTTTCAATCGAAAATTTTTAAAAATCGGAAGAAGTTGTCAGGCCAATATTTCACAGAATACAAGAACAGACACTGATTGTTCATTGGCAACCAACGATAACATCCAAAAAAAATTTCACAATTTTGTAAAACGACGATAATTATGACCATGTTTAGCGATATTAACATTTACGGAGTTAGGGCGTTGTTTGTTTACATTTTTACTGTAGACTGGCCTTACTTTTCTCGTTAAAATTCATGATTTTTATATAAATTCATGCATTGCAAAAAGTTTGTTTAGTAGCTGATATAATAATTAGACAAACAGAACATGAATGGGGGGATATTATACTCATATATTATTTTTAGCACAATTCTATGTACCAAAAAATGCAGTTTCACTAGGCTCGCAGGATCCCAATCGCGACATGAGTGTGTTCGTTCAAGGCTTGCGGTGCGTAAAATATATGAAAGGCGCGCTGAAAACACTTATTGTCTCAATATTGCGTATGAAACCGCTGTGATACTCCTAAATGATATTATCTCAAAATCAACAAAAATGTTAGATGTTGTTTTGCCTTGGGAGCGCCGAGCTTAAGATTTCTGAACATGAAAATATTTAATTAAAATACTCACTGCTGCTTTTTCTTCTTTCGGCATTGCTTTCCGTCGCCTTTCCTCATCTTCTTGTTTCTTCTTTGCTGCTTTTTCCTTTCTTCTATTCTCTTTCCTCGCTAATGCCTCTTGCATTTCCTCCTCATTTCTTGGTCTGCTGAATACGCCGCTGTCATAGATTTCTTCAATTTCCTCATCTTTCATGCCAACCTCAGAATCCTCCAAATGCCCTATGTTTCCCATCTGATTGGAGATAGTGTCAAATTTCCTTATTCCATCTTCCATGTTTTTGATTTCTTCATCATTTGTGTTCATTTCATACCCTTCATCTTTAAGGCTAATCCTATCCTGTATATCAGTTTCTGATTCATCATCACTAGCTGCCTTTATGGACCCTGAACATGAATTATCACTAGCTATCTTCACAGAACTTGACAATGAATTATCATTAGCTGCCTCTATAGACCCTGAACATGAATTATCTCTTGTGACAATGTGTTGTCCACTTGATACCATATCAGCTTTAGGGTCAGTTAATTTTTCTTTACTGTTCTTTAATTTCTTTGATTCGCTCTCTCTATCCTGCTTCTTGTCCCCTTGAATGCTACTATTACTACTGCTATGGGAATGTCTATCATCTTGAGCTAAATTTTCTTTGTTGTCTAACAAGTTTTTTTTCATCGAAGGATCTTCAAATTGGGTCAGAAATATTCTGAAATATAAACAAATTGTTTTGTTAAATTAATAAATAAATTGAAAATTAGTGACAAAGTTACATTTCTCATTACTGTACTTTACATCACTTTATTTTTATTATAATTGAGAAATTCTCAACAAAACAACAGTTCTTAGAACAATCTATGTGGTATACCACAGACATTTAATGTATTATTATAATTATAATTGTACTATTAAAACAGACACCTATAGAATGCTTTACTCAGTTGTTTTCTCTTTGTTTTCCCCATTTATTTTTCTTCCCTTAATACCACAGACACAAGAACACAACAATAATATTTTATTTACATTACATAAAGAAAAAAAACACACAATGATTATAGTATCATAGAATGGGAAAAATGATACAAAGCAGACATAATAATACTGTAAAAAGTAAAGAAGAAGGAATCTACAAAAAAAAAAAACAACAGCAAGTGATCGGTGCAAAGCATAGGAGTGGAGGTGGGGTGAGGGAGAGGAGAGAAGTTAGTAATTGCAAACTTTTGGAGAATGAACACCAAATAAGTTGTTGAAGATGTCAATATTTAACAAAAAGGAAATCTATTTGAAAAAAAGTAGTACAGCTAGTAGAAGTGGTTTTTGATAGAGGGTGCTATTATAAAATTTATAGAAACACCTACAGTGAAATTAAGGGGAAAAAAGTAGTCAGTTAACCTTTTGAGTTTGGAAAATTTGTACATTTTATGCAAAATTATAACAAGACTAAGCATTCCAATAACCTCCACATATTTTCCAAAAAAAAAGAAGAAAAAAACACCACAACATAAAAAAAGAGAAAATTTCTATTAAGAAAAAAAAAATATACAAAACTAATTAACGACATGTTTTGACATGTCACACGCCATTACCTGGCAATACTGCTATGCTACTAACGGTTTATATAATACTGGTCAGATGTATGACAAACAAGCAAATATTAAGGTAAGTCATGTATATAAAAGGTCATGAATACTATGGTAAGTCATGTATATAAAAATTACAACAAGAGAGTGATATTACATTGAGTTGCTTGTTGGCGCATTGATGGATTTGCCCAAGCAAGCGAAGCTTCTTTTATTTTAAGTTGATAATTGTTCCATACAGAATCCAGAATAGAAGGCAGTCTGAATTAGATGTTTTTGCATTTAACAGAGTTTTGAAGATGTTGAAAAATGTGTGAAGAATTGTCCCGAACTAAGTGCTCCTTCGCCATGGTTCCAAGTGTCTACTAGCAAGTGTCTAATGTTCTCACCGGAGTTACACTCCGCACAAGTAAATTTGTAGACAACATGAAGATTAATTGGGACATGGTCTTAAACATTAAAAAAAAAATAGATAATTTATATGATTTAAAAGCAAGTTTAACATTGGTATTAGAGCAATAATTTTGGAACATAGAGTTGATTTTTTGCTGACAACAGTTGGATAATGGTGTATAAAGTAACTTGAAAAAAAAGAAGGTTGTGTTTGCATGTCAAGAAGATCCAAAATGGCGGGCGACATATATATATATTATTCTATAGTACCATTTAAATACAAAGCTAACGGTATCACCACAAGGCAGGCACAATTGCTATAAGACAAAGATATATATATATATATATATATAGAATACCACAGCACATCATTACATAATAAAACTTACTCCTCTCTGCTCGACTTATAATTCTTTTCAATTATATTTATTGGGAGAGCATCACTAGAAGAGAAACATGTTGTGAAACTTTCCTGTTATTTGCACAATCAAAAACTCAATCAATAGATAAAGATATTTTAAGTAACAAAAACAAGGGTATTTACATTTTACTTCGGAGTTCACTATTCAATTTGTAATTTAATTAATAACTGCTTTAAAGATATATAGAAATATCCGCAGCAAAATCTTGAAAACCATGAAAATACATATAAAAATTTGAATTTCTGATTAAATAATATCAAAGTTATCAGTTTCCAGTTAGCAAACTAAGCAACTACTCTAATAACTTCAAAAGCTTGCTGAAAACAAGCTTACTGAAAACAGCTTTGGATTACACAATTTCAAAAACTACTTTGAACTTTAAAAAAACAAATTTTCAATTTCAAAAGAATTGCAGCATAACCAATTAGAATTTTATCTCACCAAAAAACTTTATCACATACCTTATTGTTTTTCTTGAGTTTGCACTTCCAACATTCTCTCCCACCTTAAGAGAAATATATTTATTTAATAATAAATGTCATTCAATTCAAAACATTATATATTACAAACTTATTTTGTCTTGACTGCTTCAACATATGTATAATGTTCAATTTTTATAAATGAATTTTTGTCGAGAATGTACTCGAAATCATTTTACAAATTTCATCAGAATTGCCATTTTTGTTCTTTTCAAAAATGTGTTTAAAAAAACAAAATTCACCACCAATGTTTGGGTAAGCTTTAGAATATTTCTACATTATCAAAGGCAATCATAATCATACAGCAATTTTAGTTAAATTGAAGAATTGGATTTTACATGGTTGTTAATTTAATACCTTTTCTTCTAATTCTCCCCAAGGCTCAATACTTTCCTCATCTTCAAAGTCAACTGGTTTCTTTCTCCTGGCATCTTCTTCTTCTACATGCTGCTGGTTAATATTTCTGGATGTCTCAGAAAACGTTCCTGCCAACAAGAAAACAATAATTTCACCCATTGCATAACCAGGATTTGAGATCATTAAATTACACATCTAATAGTTTTAAGCGTATCCAATGGTTGCAAGTGTGAATGAGGCTGTAAATTATAAGCCATAAACAAGAGAGAGACCTGGATGTTCCACTTCAAAAGGATGATTACAGTTAACTATTGATGGTCTCCACTGTAGTTTATCGATGAAGGAAAAAACACAAAAATCAGATAAGGTCTAAAAAGCCAAAAATTTAGTGTCAGTCTACAGTTAGAAAATGTTTATTTGAAGACTTACAAAAGATCGGATAATAACAAGACAGCGTTTTCCACGATTTCTGTGTGCAGATTCTGTAATAAGACAGCGTAGGGTGCCCTCTTGCAAAAGTGATTACTGTTCAACTTATGGCAAAATTGTTAACTAAACATAGCACATCTCACGGTTTCTGCATGTAATCTGTAACCACCTTACCATGGTAACAATGCCCTCTTTATAAAAATTATTCCTTTTCTGCTTTTTTCCTGAACATACATGCTTCTATTTGTTACATGTAAATCGCGGAGAGTGCTATCTTGTTATTGTAAATTGTAAGACCTTTGAGATTTACCAAGAACACTTTGTCCTTCAGGTAAGAGCACTCCAGGTGAAGGCTGCCCTCTACGGCTTCCACTGCTCTTGTTTGATGCTGCTGATCCGGGACGATTTGAAAGGGATGCAACAACTTCTTGCACCCTCAGCTGATCGCCATCATCTTCGCTAACACATTGATTATCACACTTTTTACCACCTGTATTTGACTGCAGCAATAGATCAATTAAAAAAACCTATGATAAACTTTATTGTCATAGTCATAACAACAAGGCGACATGAAATTAAGTTGCATGACACACCATGATACAAGTAAATAAATTATAGAAGAAAATAGGTAAATGGGGAAAAAAATTAACTATGGTAAAACTATCCCCTGCCAGACACATCCTGGTATTTCTGAGTCTCGGTTTCAGGGGTTGAGATTTTTTTGGAATTAATAATATTGTATTATATACAATTTATATATACAGTATATATACTTATATACTGTATATATACAATTTATATATACAGTATATATACTGTACATTTTA